GTTCAGCACTTTTAATACTATAAAAGAGGGACCAATGCTCATTTTGAAAGGAACATATCAATAAGACCTACATAAATTCTCTAACTTTTAACATCAGAATGAAACTTTTATCGTCCAGTCTATCTCAAGAACGCAGGCTATCAAAAGCAGGCAATTTCTTCTGTCCCACCCATTATTTTTGATAGGCATTCGTCAGAGATGTCGACTAAGAGAAAAGTTTTGTCAAAAAAGTGCACAAAATAAAATTTTTCATAATACTCCGGCAAGTGGCAATAACCAGATGTGTTTTTGGTCAAGTGAAATTTCGATTTTAACATCTGAAAAAATTCCTTAGAAATTGTAATGAATGGAATTTCGAAATTTTATCAAAAACTTTCGACAAAAACAGCGGATAAAATTCCTTTTATGTTACTCTCCGAACTGTTCCTTACCTCTTTGTTCCAGCACTTTTTTCAGGAAGCACATTCCTCAAAGAAAATTATTCCAGACCGCAAATTTCAAGCAAAACTCAGTACGCATTTTGCATTACTGGTCGAAAATAGCGTGGATAATACAGAATGGCACTTATTGAAGAAAGCTAACTCACATCTATTCGCTACAATATTCCTGATAATGAACGAATAGTTCAATGTGGTATAACAATAATGAAAATATTTTAGAGCAGTTGAGTTTCTTTTTAGAATAACAAGCTCGATGGCATGTCTGTAAGCATCAAAAATGTCATATTCAATCAGAGTATTTTTCGAGCGCTATACATACCTTTGATGTCGTTGTTCCTACAATGCGAACCAATTGACTGACAGTGTTTGGTAGCACTAATTGAGGTTCTCGGGCAATCTCGTGAATGCCCGACCAGTTGTAGATGATATTCTTCTCAGCTTCCTTTACAATCTGTAGAAAATTTGTTGAGCGTGAAAGCTGCCGTGCATAAATGAGTCGAGGCTTGAAATCATTGTTTGGAGCTGGTTCAACTTCAGAGGTTTGTCGGAAGTATACTGCAGGAACAATGCTATGACGTCTATTGATGGTTGAAATCGATGTTGAATCTTTATTATTGATCTCCAATTCCATCTCTATCTCATTGAATGAGTGCGTTCGAGAAGTCTTTTTATTTCTCGCTGAATGTACAGTGCCATATATGCTACTAAACGATCGATTAAATCGTTTATCTTCAATCAACGCATAGTTGTTCGTTGTTATCTTCTTATCACTATTGTTTCTCATCATTGCTTGTTTTTTTTTTCGGTCTATGCACACGTATAAAAGTAGCTTTGATTGTATAACGAAGACGCTGATTATATGGCTAAAGTATAAGATTTTTTTTTCGTTTCTTTTCTTTTTGACCTACTCATGCATGGCGATGCATGCTTTGAGAATGTATAGATTGTTATTTTCAAGTAATATTTTTGTTTTTCTACAATGAGTATTTGTGTCCTCATAATTTTTATAATAATGGAAACATTAAATGATTGGTTAAGCTTGATTGAAAAATAAAAATTTTATTTTCTATAGCAAGCAGAATTTTTTTTATACAACAAATAAGTATTTTTACTGTAATGATACATCTTTTTTTTTTTATTTTTTTTTTGAATGATGGGGGCATGGGGGACATGAAAAGATTGGCTAAGTTTGATTTAATT